TAAATTTGACCACCGGTCACCATCTGGATTACTCTGGGTTTCCGGATGCAGTTTTATTCCCTAAGTTAATTCAGGAACTGATGGCCCACATCAGAAGGCCGTTTTCTGGCTAAAAATGGTGTATGTCAGTTGTTTTTTCTGGGTTCAATTTAAAATGGGAAGGGGAAATAAACTTGGCCAGTGATGCAAAGGATCCTAGGTGGAATAGAAGTAAGTAAAACTTTTTTGAAGTTGGAAGCCTCTGGAAGATGCTCTGAGGGTCTGAATTTTCTTTATTTTGCTATGTGAAAATCTTGGCCTGATACTCATTCTTACTTTCAAGAAATGTATTTTTAATTCTTTTGTTGTCTCCTTACCTTGTTTGTAGTATTTGCTGACTGCCAAGCTTACATATAATCTCAACTGACATTAACTTTTTTTTTTTTTGTAAGAGCTTCACCATCTATCTGTACTAAATGCTATGGTCTTAACTTTTGAGCCGAATCTTAAGCAAAGAATTATCTCCAAGTCTCCTTTTTATGCTATTCCTCCCGTCCTTGGAATTCCTTGGCAATAAACACTGTTAAAAGTAAAGAAACATGTAAACTGCTTGTACTAGTTAGCTTAGCTTAGTCCCAAATGCTATTCTTCGAAAATAACATAAACCCAGTATTTTCTTTCAAAAAGCAAACATGCGTCGCTGCAGCAGAAGGTGCTCCTCTGAGACTTTTTTGGGTAGTAAGGCCTACAGAGCATACAGGTACAGCTAACGTTGTTCTGAGGTTGAGAGACCAGCCAGCGATGAACGAAACGCAGACGAACGGGGCTGGAAGGAAGGCAGGGAGCGTAGGTACAGCTAGAGGAGTGCTGCAGGGAGGAGGAGGGGAGAATCAGCTGTGTCAGAAGGTCGCGGGAGGGGAAGGTGTGTGTGTGTGCAGATGAATTGGGGAGTTCTGATGCTGTGCCGTATTTGTCTGAGGACTTTGTCTTAACACTGAAACATTAAATGACATCAAGGACTTCTGAAAGTGTCTGGGTTGTACACTTTTTCTAAACCAGGAGGACAACTTTTCTAGAATTACAAAAAAAGAAAAATGACGAGTTGTTTGGTAGGTGGTTGGTATGGTGGCAGACAACGTAAGCATTGTGAAAAGCGCTTGGAAATTTGGTTTTGCCAAGAGTAACAATATGGAAATTACTGACTTATTACTCCAAATTAACTGCATTTTTCTTTTGTATACCTTTTTTTTCAGAAGAAAAGCTACAAAGTGAAAAAGTTTCAAAAGAGATGAATGAATTTATCAACAAAGAACAAAACAGTAACTCAGCATCACAGGAGGCAAAAGAAATTGAAGCCGATATGGTTCATGAAAAGAAAAGATCTCCAAATGCAATCGCACCTGATCTAGAACTCAAAAAAGAGGGTAAAGAGAGGGCAGGAAGGAGTGGGTCAGGAAGCTCTAGCAGTGGTAGCACCAGCAGCAACAGCCGAAGCAGCAGCAGCAGCAGCTCTATATCTAGCTCATCCTACAGCAGTAGCTCAGGCAGCAGTCACAGCTCTTCGCGTTCTTCCTCTCCTAAAAGGAAGAAGAGACACAGTCGCAGTAGGACGCCTTCACATAAAGCTAGGCGCAGCAGGAGCAGGAGTTACTCCCACAGAAACAGGAGAGACATGAGTAGGAGCAGGGAGAAGATCAGGGAAAGGAGAAGATCTAGTAGAAATCGCAGTGCTGAAAGAGGGGAGAGGCGAAGAAATCGGAGTCCTTCGAGGGAGAGGAGCTGGGACAGACGTAGAAGTAGCAGCCGCTCGAGAGACAGGCGAGCTAACCGGGCGAGCCGCAGCCGAAGCAGGGATAGGCGTAAACCTGAAGACCAGCGTAGAAGCCCTACTGGAAATAGGCACAAACACAAAAGTGAGGGTAAAGATCAAGAAAGGAAGAAGGAGCAGGGTGGAGGTGTCGATAAAGACAGGAAAAAGAACAGAGAGAGGGAGCGAGATCAGGAAAAAAGAAAAGATAAGCCCAAAAAAGAGGAAAAAGAAAGTAAGGCTGGCAATCTTGATGACAGTAGATTAAAGAGAAAAAGAGACAGCGAAAGAACTTTCTCTCGCGGTGAATCAATATGCGTGAAAATAATTAGGCAGGATTCCAGACAAGAAAGCAAAAAAATTTGTACCAAAGATAGCAAAAAACGGTCAGGCTCCGAATCTAGTGCGAGGAGTAGTTCAGAATCGCCAGGAAGCAGTAAAGAAAAGAAGGCTAAGAAAGCGAAGCATATTCGGTCATGCTCCATGGAGAAATCTCAAAGGTCTGGTAAGAAGGCAAGCCGCAAACACAAGTCTAAGTCACGATCAAGGTAGTATACTTTTTAAGTATTTTGTCTGACTTGTTTTATTTTTTGATATTCGTCTTCATGTGTACGGCATATGAACTTTTTTTTAAAAAAGTATGGTATTTATTAAATTTTTTGTGTTGGGCGAAAGTAACTTTGGAAAATCTTTTAATAAAACTATTAATTACTAAGCCTAAAGTGTGTGTGGGTTTGGGGCTCTTTTATTTTTTCCAATTAACTTTTCCCCCCCTTTTCCTTTATTTTTCAGATCAACGACTCCTCTTCGTCGTAAACGCTGAGGAATTTATGGCACCAGTGCTATGACGTTTAAAAATTCCATGAGTTATAAAAGGCTTGTCTCATTATAGAGGCACATTGTGGCTATGTAGGTGAAACCAGAATCCTTTTTTTATCTGTAAATAGGTGTATTTTTTCCAAATGCTGCTCAGAATTAAATACCTAATAGGATTTCTTTGTATTACATTTTTTCAAGAACGGTAGTGCTTATTAAGAATATAAAACAGGCCATTCTCTTTCAGCTGTAATGTTCTTAAAATTACTATTGAATGTACCGTGATGTCAATAAAGCTCTTTAGTTCATTTTTTGTTTAAAATTGTTGCACCTGAATTTTGTGTTAAATTGTAGAAAGTACTTTTTTTTTTTTTTTCTTTTTTAAGAAAAAGGCAGCTTTTTTTTTGGTATGACATATTTTTAAAGTACTTGAAAAACATTTTAACATAAAACACTTGTCAAAATATGTAATTCATGGGCATGATGAGATTATGGGGGGGTGTGGAAGAACAAAGAAAAGGCATTTTATTTTTTCTTTAGATATGTGTAATGGATTTTTAATAACCTTTTTATTTGGACTAGCAAGTAATTTATGCCGTGTGTGTAAAATATGGGTCACTGTAATACAAGCTATACTTGAGCAGACTGAACCCCATGAGGAATACGTGTGACTAACTGATCTTGTGCGACAGTGTTAAGCTCTGGAACTATATTCCTCACCCAGTTTTCAGAGAGAACTTTCTGGATGTTCAGGGAGATTACAGGAACAAGACTCAGTATTTTAGATGCTTTTGTGGAATATATTTATAAATGGCACTCAGTACACATTAGAAAACTGACAATAGGTTAAGGTTACATTTTGGCACATGCATTAAATGTGTAGTAAACATTAAAGCTGGTTATTTTCGTTAGTGTTAGGAGAATTGCAATTCCTGTAAAGCTGCTACATTGATTAGAGAGCAATGTAACTAATTTTTTTTGTTTTAATATCACTGTAAAGTGAAAGAGGTCACTGATTACCTCCTCCTTCAGGAAATGCACTATTGCTGTTAGTAACAAGAGTGTGAAATAGTACTTGTTTAAAAAGCAAAAACAAAAAAACCCCAATGATACACGATCCTAGGCCAGTGACTGTTACAGAAGAACATTAATTGAGGAGAAGATTGGAGATTTGTGCCTAGAAGGTCTGGTATGGTACCAACTGTGAAAAAGATAAAAGGCTTAACAACATACTAAGATCTTTTTGATGGCTGTAGCTTCTAGGAGGAAAAAAAAATACACTAGTAGAGGTGACTTGCAAAGCATGTCCTCATGAGCAGATTAATCCATTTTACTAAAACTAGAATTCAACTATGCACCATTTTTGCCAGTGTAATTTTTTTCATAAATTAGATGCAGAAGTAAACTGCTTCAGTGCAAAGGATCACATTTTAACTATGTGTTTATTAAGCAAGCTCATGGCTGGTGAATACATGCATGTTTATCAAAATAGTTGCAGATGAATAATTAGTTAATCAGTTATAAATAACATACCCCCCCAATTAAGTCCTTTTACGTAGAGTAAGCAGTCATACCTACTAGCAAAACAAGACATAATTTGCAACACGCTACTTTTGCTTGCGTTGCTGTGGGTATAAATAAACGATGCGTTGGTCCAGTCTCAGTACGCGCTTGGTAAAGGTGAGGACGTTTTGAAAAGTACGTAGCGCAGCCGTTCAGGTGTTGTGGAAGGATGCCTTTCGAGAGAAAGAAGCTAGAAACAAGTTTAAGAAAAGCTATTGAGGAATACAGTTTCCATGATGCATTGAATTTGACTTTCAGTTCAGACTTACCATTTTTCTGTCTAATAATAAAAAAGATTGTGTATGAACAGCTTTATATACTCTGCCAACAACTGGAATTCTGTCACTTCCTGTAAATATGAAAATTATTTTTTTGACACAAATGCACTTATATGGGTAGTGACTGTATGCCAATAAAAAGAGCATACGATCTCTGTATTTAACTGTTTCAGAAATCTTACTAAACAGCACACTCAGCGTACCAGTAGTTAAAGATACATCGGTACCATGTCAGCTTCGCATACATTGCACTTCCTTGTGTTTTAGTAACTCCTTTCTGAATGGTTTTCAGTGGTAAAGGCCAAAATAACACCCAGTCTTTAATTCCATACAACTGAAGTGATCTGAAAACATACGCACAGATGCACAAAAATGGGAATGCATCATTTTGAAAAAGTCTAAATGGAGTTGTTGCTCTATTCTTTTACATTTTAAAATAAACATTGCAAAAATATTTCAGTGCCCTGCAGGAGAGCAAGACATGCAGTTTTCAGTGTCGTGCAGCAGCATGACAAGCGGAGGCAGTGCCCTTGAAAAATTTTTTTAACAAGTAAGGGATGGTGTGGAATCAAGTGAGAAATGGTTTCCATGCAAATTGCTCTGAAGGTGAATGCAACAAAGCCAGTGCGAGTACGTAGCCCGAGGTACCCATCGCGCCACCTAAGAACAGCAACCGGCGGTGGCCAGGGAGAGGCCGAAAAAGAGTAGTTGGGTAAAATATTACAACTTTAACACTTTTTTAAATACGGTGTGATAACTGGTTTGGAAAAAAATCTGTTCTTTGTGTCTTTGAGGCCCTGCCTTCTGGGAGAGGTGAGAGTCTCGGCTGCTGCTGCTTTTAGCTGCTGTTCTCTTCAAGTCCGTGTTTAGTAACAGAAAAGTGGAACAGCTACCTCTAGTTTAAAACCAGCTGATCCTGTTAAGTAAAATACTCCACAGAATCACAGAATGGTTTGAGTTGGAAGGGACCTTAAAGACCATCTGGTTCCAACCCCCTTGCCATGAGCAGGGACACCTTCCACCAGACCAGGTCGCTCAGAGCCCCATCCAACCTGGCCTTGAACACTGCCAGGGAATGGGCAGCCAGCCACAGCTGCTCTGGGCTGGGGATGCTCCCCCCCCCTTGGGCACGCTTGCCGGTGTGCATGTATTTAATTGCCTGTTCCTACATTTTTTAAAATCGCAGCTGTAAAAGCAATGCCAAGGTAAGGGCTGGCTCGCTCTCTCGGCGCGTCTCAGCGTGCAGGGTTTCTGCGCGCGGTGCGTGCAGCAGCGCTGAGGTGCGGTGAAGGCCGGCGACCCGCGGCACGAAGCGCCGTGCCGGGCAGAGGTAGGCGAGGAGCGCGGCGCGCACGCACGGAGCGGGTTCGACCTATGTTTAACTGCTGCCCGGAGAAGCGGCTTTGAGACCTTTCCATAGTCCTCGTGTAGCCTTTGTTAGAAAAATAATTCAGACTTTGGCTGCTTAGATGAATTCCGCTGCGGTCCTGTGCAGCCTGCTGTAGGTGACCCTGCTTCGGCAGGGGCCTTGGACTAGATGACCCACAGAGATCCCTTCCAACCTCTACCATTCTGTGATTCTGTGAGACCCATAAATGGGCAGATCCCAAGCAGCGAGGGCTACAGCGCCCAGCTCGGTCGGCGAGTGAAGCAGGCTGGCGTTACCCGGGGGGAGGGAGCGCGCTGAGCTGTCCCCGCTGGGCCGCGGCCCGGCCCCG